CCACACATCCCCCTTTCCTCTAAAACTATAAAAAACCAATAAAAAAGGGGGTTGGGGCTATAGAAAATCTTTCAGCAATATAGAAGACGTACATCACTGGTTTGGAGTCCTCAACCTCCTGCTTCACTTTGGGTTTCTGTTCCTCAGTCTCGCCAAAGTTGTCATCGAAGTCGATGTCCCCCACCTCCATCTCCGACTCATGATGGCCATTTTCTGCAATAGAAATTAAAACTAAAATGCAACTCCCTCCCATGTCACCTACAAAAATAATTTGCATTTATACAAGTGGACTTTGTACCATTCAGCTGAACAGAATTTTTTCATAAATTATCAAACTTATTACTTAGAATTTGAATAACAAATATATGGGTAAGTATTTACCAAAAAATTACAGGAAGCAAAACTTAAATCCCTGACATACCTTTTGGTTCAACTTTAACTTTAATATTTTCTTGACCATCATCATCATCGTCTCTATAATCCATAGGACAACTATCATATTCCTCAATGTCAGGGCTCTCTTCCACTTCCTGCTTAATCTCCTGTTTAATTTTCTTGACCACCGGCCTTGGAGCTGACCTCTGAGAGGCCAGTGGGCTGGGGTAGGGCTTGGCGGGCTGAGCTGGGCTCACGCGGGACTTCACTTTAGTATTAAAAGGGTTGTATGGTGATCTGAAAAGTGGAGAAATACACTGGGATATCTAGAAAAGCATTCAGAGACTACAAATCCCTTCCAAGGCAGTTCAGTTTACTTAATTTATTTATGGATCACACCAAAATCTAAAAAAATCTTTGTTAGCCCATTCCAAACCTATCTTTAAAATTTTATCAAAACCTGTCCATAACTTGTTGAATTAGGCTGTTTACTAACAAATTCACAAAAGTAAAAACATAATCTTCTTTGCAAAGGTTAATATCAGGATACTGATAGTCGTCTTTTCACCAAATGAATAACTGCTCAAAACAATTCTCCGTGTTACAAATTTTCTTAAATTAAACTTATCTGGGGTTTAAAAAGTTCACATCTTCTTTAAAATCTGATATATTTTACAAAGATGACATGAAAAACAATCAAATTAAGTCACACTTAGCAATACTGTAAAAACTCTTTAATATCAACAATAAAATTGCAATATCCAGTTCATCTCATTTTATTTCCAACTCCAACAATTTACTCACCAAATTTTTCATCTAAGTAAAAAAAAGTGCATGGTGTATTCAGCCCCAGTTACTCAATAAGTTGAAAATTCTAATTTTGATTAACAGAAAGAAATCATCAATGTACTTACTTGGCAGGTCCATTTTGTTTCTTGACCATCTTAGCTGGAGGTGGCTTGAAGGCTGGAGCAGAGGAATTCTGGTTCAATTCATTCATGATATCTCCCAGAATATCATCATTATCTAGACTCACCTCCTTCTGTTAAAAATGAAAAATAAAAAAAAAATCATAAAAATATGAAAAATAAAAAAATCTTAATCATATGCTTTTGTTAAGGCAATTGATTGAAAATAAAATTTGCCAATTTAAGACGATGTCTCTAACTGAACCAAATTGAAAAGGATCAAATAATGAAGTTGAGGCAGACAAAACTGATTTAACTTTAACATATGATGTAAGCAGCAAAGAGCCGTAAAGCCAATATTAATTTTAACCATACCAAATTAAAATAAAATTATACACATATTGTGTTGTGTTGCGTTGTGTTATATTGTATGTCCAATAGCAGTGTGAAAAATGCTAAGCATTATCTATCCATACCACAGGTTTCTTCTTCAAGCCAGTGTGTGCCTGGAACATGGATTTGATTGTAGCCTTGGGTTTGCTCCCTGGCTTCATGATGTTGGGGTTCTTACTCTTCTTGGACTGCTCCACTGCCTTCTTAGCTGAATATGAAGACAACATGACATGACTGACATTTCAAGATTTTTATAGAAACTCTGTGTTAAATGCCAAAGAAAATTCAGCAATGTGGCATTACATAATTCTTTATTTCAAGAATCTGTCAATCAATTTTCGAGCATGACTTTATTTTTAGGCTGGGGAGTGGTGAGGGGAGAAGGGAGAGTGTATGTGAAGAAATTACATTTCTTTTTTTGCATAAAATTGACTTAAAACATAATGTATGTGAATAAAAAAATTACTCTCACCTTTATTGGTGTATACATTGTCCTCATCCAGTTCATCATCAAATATCTCTCTGCCATCTTCCACATACCCACTGCCATCTAGGGAGAAAAAAATTAAGTGAAGAAAATGGGGATATAAAAAAATTATTGAATTGATACCTATTTTATCCATAATTATATTTATAGAATACGAGAACTGGAACTGTATATTTTTTATCTTTCCAAAGGTGCTCTAAATCAGGTGTAAAATATTCTGCATTTCAAAAGTATGCCTGGATAGAAACTTCACCTTTACTTGTTAAAAATACTGAAATGACAAATAAATAAATATTTTATTTTCCAAATATATTCCTAAAATTTACCATCATCCACAATCCAGTCATCTTCCTGCCTCTCTCTTACAATTTTGGAATATTCTGTTTCATCAACTTCCTCATAGACAGCTGCTTCTTCGGTGAACTACACAAATAAATAAGCATTAATGATGGCCATGAACTGTATCCATAAATCAAGGCTGAATAATACATTTATCATTTATATTTCAAGATATCAAACACAACCAAAATTAATTGAGAAATTACAGAATTAAGAGCAAAATACAGACAAGGTAGAAGTATCATAAAGCCAATTATACATCTTGACCCATGTGTAAAGTTGTCAATGGACACAATTAATTGATATCAAAATTAAGACCTGATAATTATACCTTCATTAACATTTTTTAATCTTTATTAAGTGCAGCAGTAGAACTTGCTTACCAAATGTTGAGAGAAGTCTGGGGAAAAAAGACATTTAAGGCACAAAGATACACAGTAAAACTGTTGATAAAAGTGATAGATGTTAATCATCATACAGTGATTGCGAAAGCCGTCGGACCACGGCCATATGCCGGCAAAAATTCTGTGGGCTGGAAAACCCTTCAAACTCATCGGCCCACATGTCCGACGTACTAAAGTCAGTTTCTTTAACAGACACCTCGCCTCATATTTGAATTTATCGTAAAGCTCCAAGTACGCACTAGGCGCAAGTAAAACTTATACGCCATACAGCCGCGTTCAAATAGCAAACACTATTTTTTTAAATAAAGGTCTACGTACATTATGATGTCACTCAAAGTGCGCATAGCGATGGTGTGAGGGCTGACATGTGACCCGTTTCACAAAAAATGTATCGAAACTGAAACAACTACATGTCAATGAAAAACGTACTGCTCAAGACTCTGTTAACAGGCCGCTCAAACTGCTTAAGACCGGCCACGTGCGGACCTTTGAGAACACCTAACTACACGTGCTGGGTAAACAAGTATGGCTTCCGTCGGACCGCATGTTGAATAATCGATAAGTGAAAAGGGGAGATATTCATTTGCTTTTTAGATGGGTGCTCTTAACTAATTTTAACGGATATTTTAAGTAATATTGCAGTTTTAGCGGCGCTATATGTCAAAATGAGGGACAACATCATTTTCAATGCGGAAAATCCGCAATATGGCACAGTCAGGATGCAAAACTGTCCAATATATTCATTTAAACGAACTACATGTAGCTTAGATATTAAATAAAAATTCTTTTCAGACTCTGGGCCGTAGCCAGGGATGGTTCGGGGGGTTCGAAAGAACCGCCTCTAATGCTGACAAAAAGGTCCACTCTTGGTAAAATTTGATCTAGGTACATGACGTTTTTATAGGGACAGGCGGTCATCCGGGCACTTTACCTTAGCAACCGGCATCTGGGGTAAAACAAATCGGGCAACATGGCAGATCGCATTGACTTCTATGTAAAAGTTGGCAGACTTTGTCCGAAGATATCATACTTCACAGTTCCTGACCACTTGTGTCAGTGAAGTTGAGTTATTTACCTGGTTGATTTCCTTTACAGGCTTTTGTAATTAGCCGCTGCACACCTGGTTAAGAGATAAAATCGGCCTTAACTGCTGATCGTTCTGTGATCGGGAATCTTACAGTGGTAGATTGCAAAGACTCATTTGCTTACCTGGATGAGCATATTATTCACAACAAGAGAAGAAAACCACAAGAGAACAACAAGAGAAGAAAAGAAAACCATATGGAAGCAAGTGATATTATCAAGGAAGGTTTCAATTGTACTAATAACTGTTGACGTTGCATATTGCTGACACATATGACGGGTAGATTTTCAAGCTTACTGAATTGAACCGGTACCATTTAACTCTCAGGCACGCATACAAAAGTGAAATGGTGGAGGCTTGCTGTGCACCAGGTGACACTACCAACACATTAATAAAATCTTATGGGATTTGTTTAATTTCAAAGATCAACGGAAAAGTAAACGACTATTGCAGGCTATAGGTCGTGCAAACGTGACTAAAGACGGGATTGTTGATCGAAACAAGATTTGGTCATAGCTATACATGCACTACGAGATTTATGTATGTGTGTATAGTTCATTTTATTATAGATAAGGAGAAAGTCATTGTACCTTGTTTGGAATTTATGTTTGTCATTTGTTACATGAATTAATAAGTACAGTATACATAGTATTTACAAGAAGTTGAGATTGCATCTTGTGTTGGCGTGTGTGACGGTATATCAATTATTTTAGTTAAAATCAATGGACTATAACGTCGAACTTTTTTGTTGTAAGTTAATTGAGGGCGTTATAAAGATAAGAAAAAATATACACGTCAATATATTGACAAACCTGTGAGTTAATGTCTAATTCTTTAAGTTATCAAGTAAAATATAAAAAAGTTGCCATAAATAAAAACGACCTTAACTGGTAAAATAACATACAGCTTTATTACCTTGTTTGCTATTCAATTTAATTTTAACCTTGTACGTTTTGAAACTTAACGTTCTGTCTTCCATGATATTTCGCCAATTTTCGTACCAGAAAAGTGCACAATAAGACGCATAGCTGCAAATATTAATACAGGTAACACCACGTGTCTTCTCTTCAAAAAGTTAGCAAGCAACTGTTTATGCTGCCCTTCCAGGCTTGCATTAATATACATGTACTGTACATACAGACCAAAGAGGCCATGGGACCGATGACATTGCCCCTATCCCGTTCCCCTGGCTATTGCAGCAGCAGGTGATTTAATCACAATTGTAGAAATCTTATTCTAATTACTTCTCAGTGTTGCACATTTTCGAGGCCTTTCTTACGATCCACGTTCTAAGAAGCCATTCCTATGTCACTAACTTGTGTACATGCATATACTTAGGGTGGACATTTGCTTATGCAGTTAAGACCAATTTTATCCCGTAACAAGTTAAATAGTTGCTTATTACAAAGACCTGCTAACTCAATGGTCCAGGTAAATGATTCAACCCGCCAGACACAAAAGGTCAAGCACAGCCTTTGCAAAATCTTCTGCTGTAAACTTCTCGATCACAGATAACGATCGGCAGTTATGTTAAGGCCGATTTTATCTTCTAACCAGGTGTGCAGCGGCTAATTACAAAGGCCTGTAAAAGAAATCGACCAGGTAAATAACTTATCCTTACTGACACAAGTGGTCAGGCACTGTGAAGTATGATATCTTCGGACAAAGTCTGCCAACTTTTACATAGAAGTCAATGCAATCCGCCATGTTGCCCGATTTGTTTTACCCCAGATGCCGGTTGCTAAGGCGCGTGACGTCAGCCCAACTGTCCCTATGGAAAAAGACCCCCCCTTTAAAATGGCTGGCTACGGGCCTGCTATAAGAGCAATGGCTTTATTTTACAATAAAAATGGGAATTGTCTACCTTTTCCATGGAGTGCAATTATTTGGCCTAGTGCAATTATTAATTCTGAACAGTATATTTATTTTGGAAGATTTTTCCACACACTTCCACAACTTCAGAATAGTAGCGTCAAGCCTTTTTCATTGTTTTTTTTAATGATATAAAAAATATTGAAATATAATGAATTTTCTTTAAATAATTCACGGCATACATTTTAAAAAAAATGGCCCACTTTTTTGACCAAGTGGGCCAAAATGGCCCGACCAGATTTTGACCCAGGATAATCCCTAACAGACAAGCATTCTTCCAAGAGTGGAAATCTAAAAAAAGTTAGAAAAGTTGGAAGCTCCACTTCACTATGACTTATATTTTAATTTTAGTCAAAAATTGGAATAAAATTCACAAAGGATACATGATCTTGTGTTAAAAGATTAAAAATTAAGATAAGCAACCCAGATGTAAAAAGGATAAAACTTAAATGCCAGAAAGCAACCAAAATGAAAGAAATATCCTATTAAATCTGGCCTAAAAATTTAAAAAAAAACAGCAATTTAAAATGCCAGACAATAATATTAATCAAAAATGATGTGAAAATATACAGCTTGATTATTTTATTGTGGGCCTGTAAAAAAAGGTGTGGGCTGACAAAAATTTAATTTGCTCCAGCCCACATGTCTGGTAAGTGTTCAATCTCTTTCGCAATCACTGATCATACCTCATATTTGTGTTTCTCCCCGCTCTCTTTGGCCTTCTTCAACTTTTCCAAAGCTGCAAACCTCCCGGTTTTGTCTTGCTTAGTTCGGCGAGATCTGCCCCTGGCCAGGGAATCTTTAAACAATACGACAGGAGACAATTAAATGTTAAAGACTATCATAAGTGTATGACTCTGTGATAAGATCGCTGCCTCACTGGAGTGGTACAGTGTACACAATTATTTTTGTTTAATTATCTGTATACGCTATCTTGTTTTTATCTTAGAGTTAGAATTCGACCAACCTATTTGATGCCAATCTTATTGGCATCTTTTCTCTAGAAGACTAAAACTAATCTGCAATGTCCTACTTATCTTGCTGTTGTGATCAGTGTCGGTGTCGGCAGTCCCGCCGGCAAAGTAACACAATGACTGAAAATTTCCGTAGATTTCTTCCTTGTTAAATACTGCGATCGTTCGCTTATGACGAAGTCAAAACATCAAAAGTTTACTAGAGGTATCACGATAACATGTACATGTCACCAGTGAAAGAAAACATAAATATGAATAGAAATAACATAGATACAAACCTTCAACAATCGGCTCATCCTCTTGTGCGGGACCTGGCGCCATTTTCGCGATTTCAGAAACGGCGCGAAACAATTCAGAGCTACGACAGAATTTATCCATTTGTTTCGATGATAGATATTTCATTAAATCCAGGAAACATGAAATAATGACAAAAAATAAACATAGGAACTTGTTAACAATTCTTTTTATTCATTGCATTTGCTATATTGGAACCACAAAAATTCTACATTGAGATTAAACTTAAGTGGCGAAACCAGAGATAAACAAATGGCCTCAGCATAACTTCTGATGACGTATCAGGTAAACACGAAGTAGGGAAATCCATAAGAGGGTAACTTGACACGTTTCTCAATATATCAAGTGAATTTTACACCCATGCTTTAAGCCGGAACTAGATTTAAATCGGTAAGTATGTTTCTTTTAATCTTAACGTATGTTTGCAAATAATGAAAAGGAAAGAGCATAAAAACTGAGCGGCCAAATGTTATTTAGCTTCAGATTTTTCTTTCTACTGTGACTGTAACGTCTTCCTCCAATTTTGTGAATCAGCTGATTAGTATCACGCCATATTTCGTCATTTTCAATAGTTTGCACTGCCGGCGACGGAGACGAAATATTTTGGCTGTAAATCCAACTCTATTACGCATAGCTGTAAGTGTGATTTTTAAATTAGACACGTGTATACATACTGAAAATGTTTGATTATTTTGAAGACCTTTGCACTTGCGTGTTTTACACGCATGTAGTAGTAAACAGATAACCGAAATACTCATAAACAATCTGGGACACTCGCTATCAATAATCAAATATGTATTAAAGCTGGCTAAGTAGATATAAGGGGAGTAGTTTATCAGCAGTCTTGTTTTGCCGCTTAAACCTGCACAAAGCATGGAAGAGGTCTAAAGGTTAACAGTGACCTAATAATAACCTTTGGTCTCCTCTCCCCCCAAAATAGGGGCACCAGGTTGATGTATTACTTCTTGATTGGCTTTAGATATACAAATTCTGAAGTCCAGAGTCCTTCTACCAGGGGTTGTGTATATATATGTTTAGAATGATACATGTCCACATGTAGTTTTCACATACAATTTATAAGCATTTAATCTACTAGTGAGGGGTTTCATTAGAATTTTTATAACTAATTCAATTTTGCTGGTGGAGTTTCATAACAGATGTCCAGCATGGTAGGTAAAGTATTTACTGCTCACGTATTGTTCATTTTATCTGTTTGCTTTACTAAGATATTGTTTTGGATGATGTTTAGAAAAAAAATTGACTAGCTAGTGCCCTTATTGTCTGAAATAAGAAGTGAATTAAATTTAAAACTTGTCTGGAAACAGCTAGCAGTATTTGGATTTTGACAGAGCCTGCCTTTCTGAGGACTCCTCAGAATTTTTTTTGGGAAATAGTTTGTGTTTGAATACTGATTTTAACTATATTTCCATTTACTGTACTGCTGCATTGAAAACCATACTTCATTTGAATAGGAACTTTAGTGTTAAGTTTCTAACAAAGGTCGAATCTGAGCTATATTTACATAAAATGAGGCTAAGTTACCATGTGAACATTTATGTGTTAAAGATTAAATTTAATCTTGCCAATAGTGTACAGTAATTACAGTTGCAGATTCTTATTTACCTTTGTGTGCAATTTTATTTGCTCTTTTTACATGTCATGGAAAACGTTGCAGTTTTTCAGTTTTTAAAGATAATAACCACGTATTGCCTGTTTATGTATTATTTTAAGGTGAGAAAGAGAAAGGCTGCGATGGCAGGCAGAAAGCGCTCTCACGAACCAGACACTCCAGAAGAGGAACAAGCTAATGGGTCCTCCAATCTCAAAAGAAAGGTCAGTACCACTATATAATGCAATTTAGTTCTTTTTGATACTCATAATATGCATGCTTTAATCAATACTCATGTAGTAAGGCATCATAGGCATTTTTCTTTGTGGCATTTGCACATTACGTGATCAAATTATAGTATTGTAGATGAACCCATGATCTTTTATTTTCTTCTCAGTTTTTAAAAAGAGACTGGTCCATGGTTTGAAAGTGCTGGGGAGGCATACCTCAGTTCTTTGCTTATAAACAGTATCACTCTGGCTCCGCTGGTATTTCATTCAACTGTCTTTATTACTACACGTTTATTTACAGATAATTTTATCAAAAGTAGGATTCAGAATGAGTCTTAAAGGTCCTTAATTGTACAAAAGACAGTTTTGAATTTTAGATGGTAATAAGGTCTAGGAGCAGTGAGAGAAACCATAGGCATTTTTGCTTAATAACTACTATAGTAGCCTTTGTATATATATATGTACATGGCCAAATAGATAAATCACATATCAGTTACCCCAGAACAATGTTTAATTAAGTTGGTTAAATTTATCGAAGATTCCAACAACTAAGGTGAATTATTTTAAGCATTTGATAAAAGAAAAGGAAAAGAAGGAAACTGACTAAGATGAATTACTTTTAGCATTTGATTAAAGAAAAGAAAAAGAAGAAAAGACATACAGTATACAATGTGGTTATATATTTTTTGTAATGCTATATAGCACTCCAGCTGCATGTTCATTATTATAAATTCCAACCTTGTAAAACATAATATATGTAAACAAAGTTCAAAGTCCTCATGCAGAGATACAAAGATAAAAGAAGAAGGGAAATACGTCAGGCTAACAATTAAATATCATTTGTACATTTAAATAGCTTGCCTTCATTGATCAATAATACAGGAAAATGCTCATGAATTGCATCAAATTTCAAGATTTGTGTCTACGGCAAAGACATGTATACATGCCATATTAAAGTTTATGGTAATTTTTTTAGGGCAGGTTTTCCCAGGTGTCCCTTGATTGCACCTGTTTGTACAAGTAGGTCAAATTGGTCTACCTATAATGACTAATATCTAGGTCATTGATCAGATACAGACTGTTTATTGATGTGCTGAATTGGGTCAGTAGTACGTGTTGCCTAGCCAAACAATATCTGCACTTGTGAATTTTAGGATTTTTGGGAAGTTTCTGCTTGACCAGTTTATTTTTCTCAAGTGTCCTATGATCTCTCTTTGGGAATTGCAAATTATTAACAAATTTTTTGTAATAAACAATTTTCCAGGACTGATTTGGAAATGGTAGGTCATAGTAATATTACAAAAAATATATAAATATGCTTTTAAAGCTTTCAATTTGGAATGATTCTTTCTTGACCTGGCTATAAGTAACAGTGCACGCTGAGGGGGGAATTATGTGTTGTGTGGGGTGGGGTTATTGAATGTGTGTGGGTGGGGGGGGGGGGGGTTAAGGTTGTGTGTGGGTGGGGTGGGGGGTTAAGGTTGTGTGTGGGTGGGGGGGGGTTTAAGGTGGCTATCAGTTTCTCAGTGTGTTAGTTTCTCAAACAGAAAAGGTCTTGGCACTCTGAACTTTAGTGTGGTTGATTGAGGCTGATTTGAAAAAAATGACTCGCTGTGGGACTTAGCAGCTTTAATTCCTAGTTTCTACGATGTCTATAAGCACAGATAGCCAAGTAAATACAACATCAGGAAAATTGGTCTTTAGATGCAGTGCTTCTGACATATTGAAGTGAAGAGGCACGGAAATGACAGTGGTATTCCTGTATGGCTACTTGAATGTGGAAATAAGCAGTAATTGATGTGTGCAATTATTGGAAAACGCAGACATGTTCATTTGATTCAAAATTAGCCAGCTGTGCTAGTGGAATGGATTCTTGAAGGTTGGTACGCATTGTTAAGGGCTCTCTTAGCGTCTGTTCAAATGATAGTGTATCTGGACGATCGTAAAGATTGGCAGTGCATGGGTAACATTGCGGCCTTTGCATGTCTTGCTGAAGGCTCTGCACTGATACGAACAATACTTGAAACACATAATATTGTCAAAGGGTAGAAGAAACAGAAGTATGTATTGTTAGTCATTTATTTATGGAGCTGGGATAGTGTTTCTGATATGATGGCATTTAGAAGATGGTGAACATTTTCAGTGCTGTACAAAACTGTTGGATAACCACAGAGAAGAAAGAAGATAGAGATTGACCGGTTTTCCATTATGTGGAGGTAGGATCTGACACCCATATAGAATATGACACTGCTTTTCGTAGCTTCTTGATCTGGGGCTCGGGGCTCCAGGGATTGGGCGAGTCAAACTCTTGTCAGGCAAAGCAGTTATAGTCAACGTCAACCTTCATGCATTAAAGAACTATGAGGATAACTCAAAGTCGTCATGGTAATATAGTTATGGTAATCATCCTTTGGCGTTTGTGAGCCTAGAAAAATATATTCAGATAATCTGTATATATTGGGAGAACACCCTTGACTTAAGAGGCAAATGTGGGGTACCATGGAATTGAAACAATTTTTTGGATATTTTAGCAAGTGAGATCCATGATTTACTCCCACTCACAGTGTATATACTCTGGGAGTTAATATGATTGTATACAGAAATTATGGTATACTATTGACAGAAAGCTCTTGACAGAAATCTCAGAGGATTTCTACACAGAAGCTCTTCGGTGGATGTGGAGTTGATGTGTTATGAATATTATATTAGGAGTAGTGAATATAGGCCTTTAAGTGAGCGATATAACTGACGGATCAACGGAATCAGGAATACTCCAGGGATATTAGCTCTGATGCCTACTTGTACATTTTTCATAATTTGAGAGAATTTGGCTAAATATGTTGTTCAAAGGATTTTCTGGAGAAAAATGAAAGTGCATTGAGGAAGTTTATATATAGTTGTTTTATTTATAAAATGAGAAACATCTAACAAAGAGAGTGATTAAGGGTGAAATACAACAGTTTGACTTAAGACTGGTTAACTGAAGGACCCATACAACTGATCTTTTTCTAAAGTGCATCTCACTTATGATGGCATCACAGAAGTACATGTGTAGCCGCAAACTGCAGGCAAGTATACACATTTAAAACACCAATAAAATTCTTTTTTTTTTTTTTTTTTTTTTTTTTTTTTTTTTTTTTTTTTTTTTTTTGTGCTGGAATAGGCTACTATTGTACTGGTAACCCTCATCATTGGCTGTCATATGTATGTTCTGTTCAAATATTGTTCAGACCAGTGATGATACCTTTGATACTACTAGTACCCAGGTTCCTGTATTTTTTAACATTATATAGATGTTATTTCAGGTTATGTATAAAAAATAAGATTTATCACAATGCTGTAATTATTGTTCTTGGCTGGCAATTTTTATGTTTTTTTAACTTGCATGATATCATACAGTACTAATGCAACTTTGTTGATAACCCCAGGACTCTGTTACCATGGTGATAGAGTCTTGATAATATTGCATGTTGAATCGTCATAGGATTAAGGCCACATTCAACATCATTTTAACTAAAAGTGTTTTTCTCTCTGCAGGCAGTATATATAATATAAAATCTCCGTGCTATCCTGGTAGAATGCAGGAAATAGACTGGTTGAATGCAAAATGTCTGAACCACAGGATGAGAGTCCAAAAAATTGATCAGTTTTCAGAGGATTGGAGTCCAGAGCTGTCCTTTGAAGACTTAAAAGCTAAAATAAAGATAACCCCTCATAACCAGCATATATGTAGATATTTTGGTTACACCAAAATTTAACCATTAGTATCCTCAACACCCTCCCATAGCATATTTATTTATTTATTTATTTATTTATTTATTTATTTATTTATTTATTTATTTATATTTGTCAGTAAATTAATTTATTTTAGGTAGTTTAATTTAGGTAGTATTACTTTTATAAGAGTTCATCTTATATTGACCAGTATTATATTGACCAGAATATCTAGTTGCTGAAATAAACAGCTTGAAACCATGCATATTCCCTGGGTCTGAAGATTCCTTTAGATCCCTGCTGATGGCAATTTCAGTATCTATAACTGATGTGTACATATATTTCACAATAATTGTTGGCACTCCTTGCATTTCTCATCTACCTTGGTCAACACTGCAATTGTGTAATACTAGATATCTGCTCTACTGTACTTAGCTAGTAACTGTAATCACTTAACTGTGTCATGTTTTCCTTTTTTTTTTCATTTGTTACTTTTTCCAAACTGTTAATATACAATTTTTGTCTTTGTCTAGCCTATCCGCATTCCCGCTAAGGCAATGCAGGTACAGCAGTTGCTACACCCTTGGTATCAATATGAACTCTTCCTTTACATAGAAAAATAATGCAAGGGAAAAATTCATTTTGTATATCAAGGGGTATAAGGTAACACTTGCCTATAATAGTATCTGGTACCGAGTGCTCATTCTAGCATATTTGTATAGCCAGGTAGTCTATTTTCTTCTCAAGAAATTGGTGAATTTGTGCAAAACTTCAAAACACAGTTTTTACTTTTGGTACCCTAAGTAATTTTTCGATCATATGGCAAATATTTCACTGGCTAGCCTGAGCCAAGGTACTGTCCAACACAAATATAATTGTACATTTTTTTTTCCAAATATTAATCTTCACCCACACCCCCTGCAGTGAAAATATTTAATATTACTTGACAGTGTGTATATGATGTCCACACTGTTACATGAGTGCATTTTCCAATAAAATAAAACTTCCTGCCATATATGATTTCATCATCAGAGTATTGCATCAAATACCAGTACTATAATGCACTGAAGACGTTTTGTTTTTGATCGCATTTTGCAAGCTTTGCATGTATGAGCTTATGGTACACATTGCCTCAATACGAATATTGTAGAAATCTGAAACAAATACTAAAAACAGATCTTGTATGGTTTTAATGTTGTCATCAGCCAGCTTGTTCAGGAAAATTACCAGTACATCAGCTTAGCAGGAAGCAATTTTATTCTGTTATGTTATAGCCTTCGTTTGCTTTCTAACTCCAATATGTCAATGTCTATCTATAGCATTTTCATCAAGGAATGAGTATTGATTCAAGAAGAAGGAAAAAGTACTACTTTTTTTTTACCCAGTTTGATATCAGAAAAACACTGTATGAAAATTTTGAACTGCTTTAGCTGACAGTCAACCTAACAAATAACTACCAGTATTTGAAACCAAACCAAAGTGCTGATGACGTCATAAAAAACGATACAGAATTGACTTCTATGTGTATGTGAGTATATCAATGAAATGATTACAGATTGGGCCATATCTTTCCTGGTTTGCTTTGTTACCAGTGGTGACAGTGCTAGAACTATGTGTACTGTGCTTTATTAAGTTAACTCTGCTTCTTAATGCAAGGCGGGATTGTTTATGTAGTGATGCTTGTGCTGATAAAGTTTTTTTTTTTTTTTTTTGGTCATTCCAAAGTATGTTTTTCCTCCTTTGTCCTTCTGCTTCCTCCAACAAAGGTTCTGCCACTTCTGTCAAAATAGGGTCAGAAGTATAAAGATTAGTTGATGAAGCTTAAGACCCCATTTCCAGAGATTAGATTGATCTACTTTAGATCGACCTAACTCCCTGGGGGTTCACGCTAAATAGCTGTCAGCCGAGCGGACACGAAAGTTAATTACCCCCTTACAGCTTGTAGTAGGCGGGACAGACATTTAAGCCGGATTATCTGACAGTAATCTAGTGAGACTCCCCGTGGGGATAGATCGATCTAAAAGCTCTAGGAATACAGCCTAAGGCTCATTCCTAGTGAAACTTTCATTTTATGTAGATCGATCCAACTCTGCAGGAACTTGCAGAATGCAATCAGATTATCACCCCTTTTTGTTTCCAAAGTATTCGTTTAATCACCAGCTTTTCTATATTCTACTTAATGCCAGGAGGAGGCATTGGGAATGGGCCCTCAGTGTGAGGAGTCATCATTGGTGGGGAGGGTGTGAAAAGTTAGGCTTTAAGTTTTAAGGAGAGAAAAGATGGGAAAATATGGTGGAATGGCCATAATCTGTATAATTAAAATCTTGAAAAGATAAACTTTTAGTACCTAATAACATGACTTCTTTAAGTCAGATTGTTACAGTAGTATTTGTATTTCATTATTTCAGCCAGTGGGTCCAGCACCTTTTAGTCATGAAGAGATGGCCATTAAAGAACAAGAATCTGTGGACTACTCTGTGAAAATTACTCTAGAAATGGCAAAGTCTGGAACAGGTGAGTTATGTTAGGAATATAGAATTGGCTGTCTTGGTAAATTTTTTTAACTTTCGAAAACAGTAAGCAAGGACAGGCATTGCCTCAGTGAATATCTTATGTTGTGAATTCTTTTGTTAGGTTGGTTGTACATGTGTAGGAGGTAGCTGCACCTCTCCAATTTTCTTACTTTTGATGTATTTTAAGTAGAACTGTAAATATCTGATCTCATATAGATTTTTATGTATAGTTGGTGTTACTATTTTGGAGGCAGATACACCCCGCTAATCTTTCAACCGTTCTGTTTCCTTCTCTTTTAGCTCCACGACCAGTACGTGTGTACGCTGACGGTATCTACGACATGTTCCATTCCGGCCATGCAAGACAACTCATGCAGGCCAAGACTGTGTTTCCAAATGTTTACCTCATTGTTGGAGGTAGGTGAAAAATTGTGATTTAGCTGTCAAGTATTTTAATAAAAAATATGTGTGTGTGTGTGTGTGTGTGTGTGTGTGTGTGTGTGTGTGTGTGTGTGTGTGTGTGTGTGTGTTGTAATTTTAGCCTGTAATGACAGGCTGACCAACAGTTTTAAGAGCTAAATCTAATATGTTTTAATAAATTTCATTTTATTATATATTTTATTTTACTTTATTTTATTTCTGTCTGATGATGATGATGAGTTGACCTACAGTTTTCAGGGGCTAAATCTAATATTTATTTTTTTATTTATTTTTCAGTCTGTGATGATGAGCTGACCCACAGGTTAAAGGGGCGTACTGTAATGAACCAAAAAGAACGCTACGAGATGGTGCGGCACTGCCGTTACGTTGACGAGTGCCTGACCAGCGCCCCCTGGTCCTTGGACGAAAACTTTCTAAAGGAGCACAAGGTAGTTTTTAATAGACAACTCCACAGGGACTCTTGCTGATTGCAATCAGATGAAGAGATTAATATGTCGGCTCCTGTTGTTGAGTAGAATACAGAAAAACTGGTGACAGGTATGTTAGAAACAAGTGGAGGCGTGTGACTGACATTCAGTTAAGTTGATTGCACTTAGCGAGAGTCCCTGCAGAGTCGCTTTGATCTACATAGACAGATGGTGCCTATGGGAATAGGGTCTAAGATAGAAAAGGTGACAGCCATAGTCGAATAGTCTCCTCAAATAAAGGGAACCAGAGATAATGATACCATGATGGAAGTTGGGCAAAAACCTGGGGCCCGTATATTTAGTGATGATCCTAACCACCAAGATCACAATTTATAATCAAATTTTAAATGTTGTGTTTATGATTTCTATTGATTTTGTAATAAAAAAAGTTCAGCTAGATGTGAAATCAAGCTGTATGTCTGACTGCACTGTGACACACTTCATGTTCTGTTTCTTGATTTAAAATATGAAACATTTTTGAAAAAGGAAAAAACATACCATTCCATATTTTCAAAAGTGCAAAATGTTTGACTTATTCATTAAAAATTCAGCATGTTACATGAGGAAATCAGTGTGGTTAAAAAAAAATTTGAAAAGAAAATGATTTTGATTGTATGTTCATAGCTAATTTCTTCTTCCAGATTGATTTTGTTGCTCATGATGATCTCCCATATGTAGGCCCTGGTGTAACAGATGTATATAAACCTCTTAAAGAAAAAGGAATGTAAGTATCTGCTAACATATAACCATGGATAGATGAAAATATGCAAATTCTTCATTTTTGCAGCAAAAAAAAAAAGGCAAATTATTTTTAGCAGTTGAAAAATATGTGAATTTCTTGCATCATCCGAGGAGGTTTCACAAGTTGACGTGAGACAAATTTGTCTAACTTACAAGACTGAAAAATTTTAGTCTAATTTAATTTGAATTAAATTAATAATTATTAAATCTTTGAGATGAGTAGTTACATAACATTATTTGCTACAATAGGTTTATCCTTAATTGAAGTAAAATACAAATTTAGGTCCAAAGGCCAAAACCAATTTCAATTACAAAATATTTTACCAGACATCCCCCTTAAGTATTTATTTACGCACTTCAACCCCAGTAAGTTGCATTTCCAGTCCAGGTTTGGTGGCTTAATTTAGAACATTCTTAATCATAATCATACAAACTGCTGAGAAAGTAAGTTCTGACTTAGGCCTGCACATCTTGACTGTAAATCCTCCCAGTAATATCAATCTGGACTTTGTACACGTATCACTTACCATATGTGTGATAATCAGGACAAGGTATGCAGAAGTTATGTGAACCTTGTATGTAAATAAATAAATATAAAGATTACTAATGGGACAGGTATCTTCACACGCTGTTGACGAGGTAAACTAATGTGAAGATAACCCGGCATGTCAGGGAAACGGTGTTTACTGTTTACGGAGAGTGCATTCAAACAAGGAGGCCGATTTTATCACGTGGCTAAAAGAAGTGTGATTTCATGTTCAACTTAATGCATGTGTTAATACTGGTAGTTATTTGCCAGTTAGTTGGCTGCCATTATTGATCCTGCCTAGGCCCATTGTTATAATAATAATAATAATAATAATAATAATAATAATAATAATAAATATTATTATTAATATATATTTTACATTTAAATTTATATGTTATGTTGTTGTTGTTGTTTCATGTTAACTAACAAACCAGCAAAGATAAAAACATGCCCTCTCTGGTTGTGGTAATAATGATAATTATTAGTAATACTTGTATTTGGTGTGTGTTTCAGGTTTGTAGCCACTAACAGAACGGAGGGTATTTCTACCACAGATGTGATAGCTAGGATAATCAAAGATTATGATATATATGTCAGGAGAAATCTGGCCCGAGGTTACTCTGCCAAAGAATTGAATGTGGGCTTTATGAAGGTAAGTTGGTGGTCGAGGGAGCGGGAGGGGGGAGGGAGAGGGATGGGAAGGGGGTCGAGGGAGGGAGAGGGAGAGGGATGGGAAGGGGGGGAGGGGCAGGTGCCAAAGAGGAAAAGTTTGTAATATGTTTGTTACTTTGTCAAAAAAAAAAAACTGAATGTGGGATTTATGAAGGTAACAGTGATGAAATTTAACTCACAATATAATACCAAATCAATAACAATAAGATTTCTTTTTTGACAAGCTAGTACTTGGAAGGTGATGGATGACAAAATTGTAATTGGCCTTCATAGTTTGAGCACCTGTTTAGTTATGTATCTGACTTATGTATATTAGCTTGCGTTACTGCATTTATTACGTGGTTGTTGATGTTCATATATAATCTCATCTTACAGGAGAAATCAATTCGTGTGAGGCAGAAAATTAGACAATATAAAGGAAAGGAGTAAGGAGTTCATCGGCAAGATGGAGGACAAGAGAACGGAGATGTTCAACCGTTGGGAGGATAAGTCCAGAGAGTTTATTGGCAACTTCATGGATATGTTTGGAGCAGACGGCAGGATTGTGAGTATTGAAACATAGTGGACAGTAAGGAGTTCTGAAAATGGAATAGAATCCAAAATATCTTTGTCATTGAGATTTCTTTAACTCAACTGGCTTGGAATTTTCTTTTTTGGGTCCAGGATTTTAATGGGTACATATTGAGAATAATAACATATAATATATAAAGATGAAATTGAACTGGAAAACCAATAGAAATTGAACTGGAAAACCAATAAAATCCATGTGTCAAAATATCAGTTGTCAGTCAATATGATTACAATATTTTAAAACTCTCTCACCCTTTATTTGTATTGAAAATACATGGTAACAGATCACAATTAAACTAAAGCCATAAATTTAGATCTCAATTGATTATGTATTTTCAAATGTACTTTAAAACATTATTTTCCAATTTCAGAGTCACTGGTGGAATGAAAGTAAGGCAATGATGAGCCGGGCCATCTCACCCCCCGCCAGTCCCACCACAGGGAGCCCATCTCATGCCATGGGATTTTATGAAGATGACACCCCTGAGTCGGATGTATCACCCCAGCGAGACAGCAGCCCCCCACCATCCAAGAGACGAGCTCTCCTCAATGCTAAGGCATTTATGGAGGATGATGAGAGATATTCTGCAGATGAGGAGGATGGAATTATTTCTTATTAAGAACTGTTTTTATTTATTTATTTATTTATTTATTTGAAATTTTTCCCTTGATTTTGGAAAATAGTGGGGATTTTATTTCTAGAAGACAGAACTGGTCAATTGGATGTCATTGTTTTTAGATACAACAGGCTGAGTGATAACAGTATGGCAAGATTAATATTAAAAATATTTAAAGTTTTGTCAGATGCATAGTAAAATATATTAAAATTTTTTATTTATTCAGAAGTTTTAACTCCGCAATGGCAGATTGTAACTGAATGCTGCCAAGCTTGATGGTATGTAGGATGGAAAGAGGTTTAAAAGGAAGGATAACTGAGAGATACACTGAAAAATGTTTCTCTTCTTTACTTTGTTCATTATTATTATTTTTTTTTTTTATTATTATTATTATTATTATTATTATGTACCTTGAATATACAGTGGAAGCAGACAATTTTTGAGTGCACCAGTTATCTGGCACCATGCAAGAAATATTTCTTGATGGCATTCTTTTCTTTAAAAAAAATCCAACACATCAAAAAAGTTTTATTCAAGTCCACTCCTTTAGGAGTATATCAGAATGGGAACAAGGCCATTATATGATCTGTTTATGCTTTACATAGAAAACTGCTAATTTTTGCCAAATAAGCTTGTTCTGTAGTGTCATAGTTTTACTAGAAGCCTGTAAATATGCTTAATATTATGAAAATTTTTAACATATATATATATTTATGTGATTTAAGTTTGGCATAAATTAGAAATTTAGCAGTTGCATGTTTAAAGGAGTTGAAAAGCAGTTGCATTTTCAAAGTCCTTAAATGTAGATGGAACTCTGTTTTAAGTCGAGATAAGCCCAGGAAGAACATTCCCAAAATGTTTCACCTTGTTACATGCATGCATGAAATTTGTATAAAACATAATTCACATTAATTGAAGTTTGGGGGAGAAAATTTAAGAATTACTTATTCAGTAAATATCTTCATTTTCTTTTTGTCAGATCTTTTAATAGCATCCTGATGTGTCCTTATAGTGAACGGTTTGTTTGAAATGACTGTTCAGTTATATATAAAGTTTCAAGTGCAACCTGAGTTAAGACCATGCTGGTGAATTGAGTAGAGACGTGAAGTTGCTTAAGTTTAGTAGAATATGGTATTTTCAGTTTTTCCACCCATATATGTTCTAGAATCATTAACTTTGAGACGATAACTAAATGTAAAAGTTGCTGCTACCAGTGCTTCAGTGCCATTTTTATGTACAGACACAGATGTGTCTGTACATATAGCCATCATCTGCGTCTGTCGTCGGCGCCGTCGGCGCCGTCGTCGCCGTCGTCGCCGTGCACTTTTGCCGATAACACGATAAGTGGAAAANCTCCAGCTGGTGGTACAATATTCGGAGGCGGTATCGCCT